TGTGTGTGTGTGTGTACCGTCAAATTGGATCTGACTGGTACAGGAGACTGCCCCTCCTTCTCCAGCAGAGCATGAAGTAGAGTCTGGGTATTTTTTTTCCCCCCAGGTGCCTGTCGGGGCCTGGGTTTCAGCTGTCCACACCACAGCAGTGGACAACGCGCTTAAAGCCCCTGATGGCTCTGGGCGCTGACTCTCACCAGTGGCTATGGATGAAGTCACAGGCGATTTTCAGCCAGCACCGGTAGATAAGCTTTTTAAGACAACTTCTTACAGTTAAAGTGCAGTGCCTTTGAGTCTCTCAAGGAAAAAGAAACGCTTTGCTCCCATCGTGCCTTTGCAGATTTGTTGCTTCTGCCCATCTTTCTGTTCACTGCACCAGAAAATCTCAAGTACTGTTTCTGCTCCAGGTACCGAAGGGCCAGGGGTCAGCATTTCTGAAGAGAGACAAAGCCAGTCGGAAACCTCAGTGCCGACCATTGTTTACAACCCTTATGCTGCCCTTTCTATAGAGCAGCAGCGGCAGAAGCTGCCGGTGTTCAAGGTATGTTGAATCAACATCTTCAGTCTGCGGGCTGCCCTGTGGCTGCATTAACTCTGCTCACCATGCAAGGGGCAGATACTCTCTTACTCTTGATAATTCTTTAAACCACAGTGAGCTAGCTCAGAGATACTCTTGACCCAGTAGATATTACCGAAAAATTGAAAATGACACCCCTACCCCACTCTCATTGCTTGCAATTCTAGATAATTTAAAATAACTTGGAAAAGTTGAGAAAAAGCATAATGACTTTCTGTGCATTCTTCTTTGACAGATTACCAACTTGTGGTTATTTTTACCTTTCCTCTTAAAGACATGGTTCTTCAAATGAGATTTATTGGAAGTAGGAGGTTATTTCAGGTGAAGAGGTGAGCTGGGGGTACCTTGGACTGTCGCTCAGGCAGCAACAGGAACTTGGTGTGGCTCCTGCATCCCGAGTGGGTTTCTGAGTCTTGGAGTTGTGGATACATACTCACATCACTGGAGACTGAGATGTAAAACACGAGTTAAAATTACATCCCTGTACAGTGAATGGTTGTTCTCTAGTCCACACGTGCTGTGTTCGTTGATTGGCACCCTTTCGCCTGTTGGCGTGTTCCTTGGAAAGCCAGATTATGACCAGGAGATATACCAAGAGCTATTCCTGAAAGATGCTTATTTTGTACAGCCCCCACTGAGGAATGAGGAACGTCTCTGCGTGTGACCCCAATTGGCAAGACTACAAGCACCCCACTGTCTCTCTTGGGTAGTGTTGGTTTTGAAAGCTGCCAACTTCTTACATTTAGGGAGCCTCTCTGCCTAGACTGCTGATAATCCCTCTTTCATTAAGTGCTTTTCTCCCCAAACAGATAATTAATACTAGCATATTTAATGGCATTACCGTGGCTCAAACACTGACAGTCTTTGGGTTTTTTCCCTCAGGTGACTAATCTCATTCATGGGGTGTGAATGTTGCCCTTTTGGTCCTGAGGAGATACAATTACTAGGCTCACTGTTGTTTCCGCCTCAGGAGAAAGATGTGACAGTCAGCTGGCTCTGTGGGATTTTAGCCTTGGAAACCTTACTGAGCAATTCTCCTTTATCCTTGTCCTAGGGTCACGAGGTGTGTCAGAATTGACTCGATGGCCACAGGGCTGGGTTGGGTTATTTACCACTGAAGGATGCAGTCTGAGTCTTGATGTCTCTGGACTCTGGAGTTTGACTTTAGGGTTCACAGCCAGGCTTCATCACTTGTGTGCCATGTGACCTAGCTTTACCATGCTACGCTTCATCTGCCTTATATATATAGAGTGGGGCAAAGAGTATCCGCTTCATAGCCTAGTGATCAGATCCAATGAGATGATCCGTGTTGAGTTTTTAGCAAGATGCCTGACTTGTAATAAACTTTCAAGTTCAGGGGTAGTTACTGTTTCCCAAGTAAATTTTGGCCTTTGCTGTTCTTGATCTTCCAACTAGACGTACAAGATAAAAATCAATGAAATGACAGCAGATGAAAAAAAAAGAACTTAAAATATGCTGAAGAGATAGACATGATAAAGAAGGTCCCTGGGTAGGACATGCACTTTGTGATTGGTCAGTAGGCTAAAGCTGGGGCAGTGTAAATCTGCCAGCAACTCTCAGGTTAAAAGAGCAGGATGACTGATGCTGTTATGCTCCGTAACTGATGTAACCAGTTTCCCAGTGATGAACATGAAGGCTGTTTTGCTCTTGCTGTTCTAAAGAGTGAACGTGTTTATACATGTATCTTTGTGTGCATGTATTGATAACACAATTCTTAAGAGTGAAAATTTGTACACCAGTGTTCATAGCAGCATTATTCACCATCACAAGAACATGGAAATAGCCCAAATGGCCAACCACAAACGAATAGATTGAGGAATTATGGTACATTCACACAATGGAATATACTATGCAGCATGCAGAAGCAGTGATTTTATAAATTATTACCTAACTTGGGAGGGACTGGAGAGCATTATGCTGAGTGAACTAATTCAGTCCCCAAAGGATAAATATTGTATAAAACAATTATTATAAAATGAGTATAAGAGGGGTAAGAAAGGGTGGAAGCAGAGGGATGAGGATGTGCAGAGGGAAGGAGGAATTAATCATAGGATTGTACAATTCGATGGGTGGCAGGGTGAGGGAAATTGAAAGAATCTGATTTTGAAAACAATGTATTCAAATTTTATAAATAAATTAGTATAAAATAAAAAAGTAAAGATCATACCAAAAAAACCCAACAAATGAAAAATATTAAAGAGAAGCTATCTGCATTAGATTGAGGTAGATGTTCTATTCAGTTGCAGTAACTTAAATGGATATCAACTCTATTTGAGAGGCAGAAACACTTTGATAGTTCTTTTTCTTTAATAATAGTTTTTTGGGTTTTTTTTTTTAAATAAAATTTTAGTTTATAGTGGTTTGCTTACAAAGTTCGTATGATAGTTGTTTTTTAAAGTTTACTTTCCCTAGGCCAACCACTCCTATCACAGTGTTTGAATATCTTAGTTTAGGTCTTTGCAGAGCATACATGGTTATTTAATTTTCATTCTTTTACAGCTTAGGAATCACATACTCTACTTGATAGAAAACTATCAGACAGTGGTGATTGTTGGCGAAACGGGATGTGGGAAGAGCACGCAGATTCCTCAAGTGAGTGTCTGTTTTTGTTTGTGACTTTGCACTAAGGTTTGTTGGAAGGACTCTGTAACTTTGAGAGCTCTGTATATTATCTCTTGCATTTCTGAGGCCTTTTCTCAATCAGGAAAGAATCGATTTCAATGAAATTTCTTTCTAATAAACTTTTGAGACTTTTAATTTTGTGATAGTACCAAAGTAGCTATTGTGTTGAACTTATTATTATTTCAGAATAATTGAATAGCTTCTCCCAGAAAGGAGCTGTGTAGATGTGTAAGATATAGTTTCAATCCTCACATAAGTATGATTAAAGAGGTAGGATCAAATAGATATTGTGGGATTGTAAATAAAAATTGACTCACAAAGCTACTCAGGGCTTTTGAAGAAAACCCTCTTACCAGGAAAAAAAGAACCCCACATATTTGGTGGAGCCAGGCATGAGTACAAGATGAATACAGGAAGACCTCACAAAGGAAATGCCATCTGAAATAGGCCTAAAAAATCCGTACGAGCTGGCAGGTGTTCCAGTCCAGTGAATGCTGTGGGTAGAGATAATGGGGTGGAGAAGTGTTTGGAGCTACTGAGTATTAAGTCTGGAAAGCTAGGCTGAGGGTCAGGGTGTGTTTTAAAAGCCTGACTTGTTTTTTTTTTTTAAATAAATGTGTATATGTTTTTATAAAGAGAACTCTACTGGCCAAGTAGTAAAGAGTTGTTCTGTCAACCCAAAGGAACTTGGTTCAAACCCACCAGCTACTCCAAAGGGGAGAGATGGGGAATCCTCCATGTGGTTTACAACCTGTGAAAACTCGCTGGAGGAAGAGCTGTGGATTGGTTCTGTCTCTGTGGCACTTAACATCAACACAATATATTTAAAAAGTTACCATTTTAACCATCTTTTCCAAGTGTGACTTTTAATTAAAAGGGAAATATAAACTATCTGTAGCAAAGTTCATAAATTATACCTTACACCACAAGAAGATAAAGGTAAATAATCCAGTTGAAAAATGGACACAGGATATGAACAGACACTTCACCAAAGAAGACATTCAGATGGCCAACAAGCACATGAAGA